ATTTTCTCCACCCTCTAACAGGTTGTATCATGGAATCATCAATAGACATTCCTCTAGGCTCAGTGTCTTCCACAAGGCAATAATTACTACAAAATAAAATGTTCTCTCTTCCTCCTTGTCCAGTATTCGCAAGAATGAAAAAATAACTCTGAAACACAGATGTTCTTATCATTTGTTAGCTAAATCTCAGAGCTTCTCTGTTCATGTTTGCAACTACTGTTGCTCATAAGGGCCCAGAATCAAAAATTTGAGATCCTCAACTACAGGATTCTGTCAGTGGCAAAAATTAAAAAGTAAACATCTTTACATTACAGAGTTGTATTAAGGGAATTCAAGACTCCTCAGGGAGAACTTGCTGAGATCCCAGCCATAGAGAACATGGATTGCACAGACTAGCACATGATAGACTGGAGTTGTATAGCAACACACCAACAATTGGAACACACACACACACACACACACACACACCTTTTTGAGAGCCACAAGCAAGGTAATAATAAATAGATGAACTATTTTGGTAACTTGCCTTTCTAAATATATGGTATATTTTAGATGTTTTTCTATATCTCTGTAGAAAATTTACTGGTTGTTTTCATATGCTCCATAGTTTTCAATTGTACAGATGTTTATAATTTACTGAGACAAGTTGTTTTTGATAGAAATTGGATTTACTTCTGGATTTTTTGTTATTGCCAACTAGTAATGCTATACACATTTATATTCTATACACAATTATAATTTTAATTATGCATACAGACTGACACTGAGTTTAATATGCATATGTGCATTACTTGTGTATATAGCTTAATATTCATTTTCATGAATAAATATGTACTCTATAGCGTCATCTTAATGGCTGTTCACTGTTTATTGCATAGACAGAACTAATTTGTTTAATCAATGCCCAACTGTCAGGCATTTACGTTGTGCTTCATTTTTCACTATCATAAATAATGGAATTGAACATCTGTCTATTTAAATCTTTGTGTACTGGTCAGATTTATTTATTTATTTCTGTACTTTTTTTTTTTTTTTACAGTTCTGGGGATCAAACCCAGAGCCTCATGCATTCTAAGCAAGCTCTTTACTACTGAGCTACATCAATCAAATGTGTTTTCTTTGGATGTATTCCTAAAGATGACATTGTTAGGTTAAAGGATATACATATTATTAATAATAACCACCTCCTTTAAAGGAAAAAAAGCAAACTGTCCATTGTATCCTTCAGACTTACCGAACAAACATCCTTAGATATGATAACCTTGGGAGAAATATTTACATCACATTGGTAGGTGGTTTTCAACCTATGTGCCTGGTGTGGTAGGCAGACTAATAGTGCCAATAGTACTAATGTCATATAGCCCCTAACCTGTAAATGTTATATTGCTACAGAGCAAAGCAGAGCTTAAGTGAACAGATGGAATTAAAGTTGCTAATCAGCTGACCTTAAGAGGTCTACCTGAGATCCAGTGTAATAACAGGATCCTTAAAAATGGAAGAGGGTCAAAGGAGTTGTGATCAAGGAGTATGTTCAAAGAGACATAATGACGCTGGCTTTGAAGATGTCCAAAAGACAGGGAATGTGGGCACCCTGTAGAAGCTGAAAAAGACAATGACAATCTCTCTCTGAGCCTCCAGAATGAGCCAGTCCTCCTGACATACTGGTTTTAGCTTAATGAGGGGGACTTCTAGTCTCTAGAATTCTGTAATAATAAAGTTGAATTGTTCTAAGTCACCAAATTAGGGGTAAGCTGTTATTGTGGCAATGTAAACTGATATACCTGATTATGAGGAAGTTAATGGCAGTGGTGAGGGTGGTTCTTTTCCCTATAGCCTCTGATTCAGTAGTTTAGAGAAGAGCTGAGAGGTACATATCTTCAGCAAGCCCACTCCCAGGTGATGATGCTGCCTCCAGTGGGGATTTGGGGAACCTTGACATAGTAACATGGGTCTGTGGAAGAGCTAGCTCTTGTTTTGCACACAGTTAGTTTCTAGCCTAAAGATTGGCCTAGGACAGTGGAGATGTCGCTGGGAGCTCACCTGCAGCACCAATCTGGTATCAACCTTAACTTTATCTGCTGAGTGACAATGTTGTTCATCTTCAGCAATCAGAGCCTAACCTATGTTTCCAGCTTGAGTTTTAAGTTCCCATCAATTAAAATGTACCACTGTTACCAGACTAGTCTGTCTTATCGCCATCTTATCAATGAATCTTGGAATTTCTGCTTGTATATTTGCTCTTAAAATTATGCTGTTTGTTTCAGCCGAGGGTTCCAGAATGCAGGGGTGTGAGAGGATTATGAAGTTTGGTAGGAAATACCTTTGAAAGAAAAGCAGAAGAGGAAGCAGGAACAAACAGGGACTTTGACTATGTTGTAGGCCTGACAGTCTCAGTCTAAGCAACAGGAATTCTGGACCAAATGCTGTCCATTGGAGAAGTCCCACATTGGGTGGAAAGGGTAGCAGTATTACAGTTGTTGGCTAGAGGATGTCCCCAAGGAGCATGACAGAAATGAGTCCTAAAATCCTCATAAGTAGGTGCCTTTGAGTCACTACATTCTCTGCACCTGAGTGGAAAATTTTCTTTTAAATTTTTAAAAATTTTTATTTACTTTTTAAAAATAGATAGGATCTCATTCTATCACCGACTGGCCTGGAATTCACTATGTAGCCCAGGTTGAAATTGAACTTGTGGTGATCCTCCATGCCTTGAAAAGTCCATTTTGAAGGGCGTTCCTGGCAGTACTTCTCTGTCTCACACAGTTTTCTAGTCTGTTCTTCAGTCACCCAGACCCTGTTACCTTCTTTGAGACACAGTAAATAACTGTTGACAGGTCTTTTTAACTGCCACATGGATTTTAAAATACAGGCCCTTATAACTGGAAATGACTTTAGGGATTAGCTAATCTTATATGTGGGGAAACTAAGACCTGTGTTTAGATCCCCAGTACCCATGCAAAAGCCAGGCATGATGGCATGTACCTCACCCTAGTGCTGTGAAGGGGGATAGCAGAGATAGGCACTAGGCTATAAAAATTATTTTCAATTAATTACATTAACCAGAGGATACAATTAAGGAAAAGCTATTATTTATTATTTATATGGGAGAATGTGGAGGAATGCTTATATTTTCAGTGTTACTCACAATACTGAGTTTTAGAATAAAAAAGTATTTGAGCATGGGTTTCAATGGCATCTGCAAACAACATTCTTCTTTGGAGTTTTTGTTTACTTTTTTACATTTTTATACATGTATACAATGAATTTCAGTTGTTTTCTTTCCCACATTGCCTTCTCTCATCCCCCAGCCTCTTCCACTGAAACCCTTCTTCCCAAGCAGCATGTGTCTTTTTCTGTGGGTGACCCAATGAGTTTAATTAGGGGTGCCCATCAACAGTTCATCTCTAGAAGGGGCCTCTATTTGGGATTTTTAAGGTAGTCTTTGTGAACAGAAAAAGAATCATCACATTTTTTTTTAGAGACAAACATCGCTTAAATATGTGACAGTTTCCAGCCCTCTTGAAATAATTTTAATTCTTCCAGAAGGTCAGAAATGGGTGTGTGTTGTGGGGTTGAGGGCCAAGGCAGCTGATGAGTCATAGCCCATCAGGCCACTATCAACTGCTCCCAACTGGGGAGAGTGATGTGAATGAAGTTTCTGAGCTCATGCCCTACAGGAACCTGACTTTCCACAGTTTCAAGACATTGATCAATCTGTTGGAAAAGTGTCACTTCCTGACCTCCACTCAACTGGCGTGCCACAAATTATGTAGAGCAGATGGAAAGCTACACAGTATACAGGGGCCAACTATCCCTCCTTTATGTGTAAAAGATAGTGAATAAGTGAGGGTATATTTGTAAATTGCAAACGTTTTGGAAATGACAGTGTGAAAGGAAGTCTTTCAAAATTTTAAAATTTTACTTATGTGTATGAATATTTTGCTTACATGTATGTAAGTGTACTACATGTGTGCAATGCCCACAGAGGCCAGAAAGCAGCATTGAATGCCCTGGAAGTGGAGTTATAGGTGGTCGTTAGCTGCCATGTTGGTGCTTGGAACTGAACCCAACTCCTCTTCAAGAATAGCAAGTGCTCTTAACATATGAGCCATCTCTCCAGCCCTAACAAAGCTCTTTATATTAACTTTTTGGAAGTCTGATGAGAAAGGTAAAACAGGATGGATACAGAGAGCTAGAAATCTGAAGTCAAAGCCTGAGCACCAGTTGATCTGAGGAGGGATTTACCTCTGTATGTCAGAGGAGTATGGGAGTCTCCTGGTGACAGGATTCCCCCTCCCCTTTTGAGATAGGGTCTCACCATGTAGCCATAGCTGGTCTGTAACCTGCTTTGTAGCCCAGGCTGGCCTCAAACTCACAGAGATCCACCTGCCTCTGCCCCCTGAGAGCTGGGATTAAAGGCGTATGCCACCATGCCAGGTTTCCTTGCCTCTTCTTCAGTTTAGAAATATGTAACATCCTGGAACAGTATTTCTCAGGACTGAAGAATCACCATATTACAGCTGAGGATCCAATCCTCTCATCCGGAGTTGTAGTCTTTATTTGCATAGCAGATAGGAGGGGTAAATATCTAAGAGCCATCCTGATATGAATCAGTGATAAGTATTATAGGGAAGAGAAATGAGCACTGAGGTCAGCTTCCTGTATTTTATTATTTTATGTGTATGAGTGTTTTACCTGCCTGTATGTAAGTGCGCCACATGTGTACAATGCCCATAGAGGCCAGAATAGGGTGTTGGATTCCCTTGAACTGGAGTTGCAGATGGTTGTTAGCTGCCATGTGGCTGCTGGGAACTGAACCCAGGTCCCTTGATAGACCAGCAAGTACTCTTAACCCCTGAGCCATCTCTCTAGCTTGTGTCACAATAGATTTTAAGAATAAAATTGTAATTAAAATCAAAGAACGACACAACATCATAATAAAGGGACCAACAGTTGACTCTGTTACTGTGGGATTTGGGCCAGGTCACATTATCTGCATATATTAAAAAGAAGATTATAATACAAATCTTAGGGCTGCTGTGAAGTTTAAATGAGATGATGAATGCCACAAAATAACCCAAGACAAAATAATTCTTCAAATTCAGACTAGTAGCATCTACAAAAAGCATAGTTTTGTTATTATTCTTTCTGGGTTGTTGTATAAGAGCAGATATGACATTGAAGGGTAACACTGATGGCAGGGGCTTCCAGGGTTTTCACAGGGCAAGTACCCAGCTCATACCAGTACAAGGCTGTCTACCAGACTGGAGAGATGAATGGCGTCAATCAATTGCCATCTTAACTATAAGAATTTTCAGGAAGGTCCTGTTGCAACATCTTGAAATAAACCTCACCTGCTCCTCCAAGTTGTCCAGAGATACTGTAGGTATTCCACATGGGTGAACCCAACACTTCAGCACTGAAAAGAAAGTATCTCCCAGATGTTGCTAACTCTGAGTAGTTCACTGTTTATAGAAGCTATGCGGACCCCTTAGGGAGGCTGTAGGGCCCCGCCAGAGTCCAGATCCTCACCTACAAGGTATGAGGTGCCACAGTACTCATCATCAGAGCAGAGGATGAGCAAAACTCATGGAACTTCAATCCAAAAAGGTTCTATACCTAGAATAAGTTCTCCAGCAAGCAGCAGGCCCATCTTGGGAAAGAGCACTTTGTTCAATGTCTAATCAGTAAGTTCTCAGATTTCTCAACAGTTCCCTTTGAAATTATTTACTTAGAATTGAAGAACACAATTTTTCAAAATATTTCATTCAGCAGGTCCAGGCAGAGACTTTTCATATTCTTTCTAGATGTTGGAGATGGAGGGAATCAGCAACCTCAATCCATTTGGGGGTGGTTTTCACTCCATTTTTATTTTACTTTTTATTGAAGCAGGAGTGAGTTTGGCCATAGTCTAGCTTAAACTGGAAAGCTTAGGGCTGTTCTTGGTGCCTTGATTCAGTTGGAAAAGTAGAATAGCCACATAGAATCCCATGTACTCATTCTTGGTTCAAAAGACGTTGCTGGGGAAGCCCAGGGGCCATAGTTTCTAAGAAAAGGGGCAATGGATACAATGGGCAGCAGGTGGGTCTCTATGCTCCCCACCCCACAACAGCTCTTTCATACATTTTAGAAGCTGGGAATCTGCTTGTGTTTGAAAACCCCTGCCATAGGGCATTGTTGCTAAGGAAGAGCGGAGCACAATTTAAAGGAGAAAGGAGAGCAGTAACTTGCGCCTGGTTCGATATTACTTAGCAGCAGAAACAGAAAAGAACAGCGATGCCTCTAAAACTTCTGAATTTAAAGCGGACAATCATGAGCAGGTTTAGAAAAAATGGGACTTTCTTCTTCCAAATGAGACTAATAATAGTAGAGATCTTTTCTTCTCTCTAGAGAGTGGCTTCCTGAAAAACAAGAGAAATGTGATGATGAAGACGCTAGCTCCGGAATCAAATGACAAGTTCCTAGCTGTATGATGTTGGGCTACCTCCCTTGCCTATCAGAGTTCTATTTTCCTCATGTTGAATGAGTATATTAATAATGACTGTTTCCTAAGATTCTAATGAGGATCGAGTCAAACACACACAAAAAAATGCCCCTAGAATGATAGCTGGCATATACCTCTTTCATAAATGCTCACTATTATTTTGTTTTTAAAAGTTAGTATGGTAAAGTCAAATTGCTATGTGGCTAAGCTGCACCTTACATTACTGGGAAAGAAAACTGATCCTGACACTTAGTTTGACTTTGGACAAGTTACTTAACATACTTAAACCTCAACATTCCCATTTGTCAATTAGAATGAAAAGAGAACCTGCGGGGCTAGAGAGATGACTCAGTGGTTAAGAGCACTGGCTGCTCTTGCAGAAGACTCGGATTCAGTTCCCAGCACCCTCAAGGCAGTTAATAACCATCTGTAACTCTAGTTCCAGGACACCTGACACCCTCTTCTGACTTCCGAGGGCATTGCGTGACACTGGTGCACATACATACATGCAGGCAATACACTCATGAACAGAAAATAAAAATAATAAATAAAATTTAAAAATAGAACTTGCATTGTGGGTAGTTTCTATCGTTTTTTGCCAGTTTTTGTTTCGGGCACTGCTGGGATGGGAAAATACAGTGCCATGCATACTAGGTAATTGCTCTACCACTGATCTCTACCCCCAGCATGTTTTGGCTCCTCATAATTTGGCTTGTCTCATAATTTTGTACACTTCATTTTCATGGCTACACTCTGGACTTTGTCACCGCTCGCACAAATGCAACCCTTGCAACTGATTTCATATATCTACTCTTTAACCACTACCTCCTATTTCATTGCTCAGGTAATTGTATTTATGTGTTTTTATATAACCTCAACTAGTTCATCAGCTTCCACTTGGCCCCATTTTCTTCTTAGTGCAGCTTAGATTCCACAGGCTCTTGTTATCATAAGTCACATGCAAAAAAACCCTTCCAATCTTTTCCTGTATTCTTTACCCATCATGTTCATTTGCCATAACCTCGATCCCAAATGAGCCACCCCATTTACTTTCTCTGCACATTATACAAACTGGACATTACTAAGGAAATCACAGAACCATGCTGACTGTTCCCACTTGAAATACATGGTCTCAGATTTCAGCTCAGCACTCTGAAGTACTCTTGTGTTTCTCTCCCAACAGGCTTGCTTTCACAATGCTCCAAAGAAACTTGTGTGTGTTCCTACTCTCTCCAACTATCCCACACTCACACTGTAAGCTGCTGAGCCTGCAATCTAAAAATGCTCTTTGTTTTTTGGTTTTGTTTTATGCTAGATATCAAACTCAGGGCCTCCACATGCTAGGCAAGCACTCTGGGCCAGCGTCCTACCACTCAGCTGTACTCCAGAGCCACTCTACACTGTATCAGTGGCTAACTATAACTAAATATTATCCTAAGCATTTGTATACATTATTTCATATAATTCCCACCGAACCTCTATGTATTGGGAATTCTTTTTTAAAATATTTTATTTTTTATTTTCATTTTTTTATGTGTGTGTATTGTGTCCATGTAGGTAGGTGCACCCATGTCATGCAATGCCCACGGAGGTCAGGAAAGGGCATCAGATCCCCTGGAACTGGAGTTATGGATAGTTATCAGCCACCATGTGGGTGCTGGGAATCTAACCTACATTCTCTACAAGAGTTACAAGTACTCTCAACTGCTGAGCCATCTCTCCATCCCATGGGAATTATATTATGCTCCTCTTATAAATGAAGCAACTAAGGCATGGCGAGGCTCAGAAATGTGATCAAGTTCATGAGACTAATAAGTACTGAAGCTGGGATTCCGACTTAGAGCTTAGGTTATGAAGTTCTATTTTCTTTACAAGATTGTCGTCATTTTGAAATGCCTAGTGACACCACTTTCAAATTGAGTGTGGCTGCAGAGTCCTGGGTGGCCCTATGTCATAGGCTGAAAACTGAACACCTGGAACAGCTAATCCTCATGGATTTATTCATCTTTCTGAGTCACCTTGATTGTGTGTCAGGCTCAGAAAAAATAATTTGGTAGTGTTGCCTCTCTAACAAAATGAGAAAGTATTCAATAAATCTGACAAGATAGCCAGTGCACATGTGGACTCTTTGAAACTAAGATGACACCAATATTACGTATGAAAATACTGAATCATAGAAATAAGGTTCTTGTCAGTTTCTAAAGACCCTGGTTTTTACAGTACAACCCCTTCAAGTTTGTCAGGGCACAGAGCTACACTATGAAAGGATCAACCATTTACCTACTTTCATTGGCAAGTCTGGGACTGGCAGGTCCACGACTGGGGGTGGCATATATTTTCTTACCTAGAAAAGAGGAAGAAAACACGAGTGGCAATGAAATCTCCAGCTAGGTTAGAAGGTGGCCCATAGCATCACATGGATCCCAAATTGCCTGCCCCTCACTTTATGGACACCAGACATATTTTCTCTTATTTGATGCTGAAAAGAATCTGTTGGTAAATCCCTTTGGTGATTGTTTACTGCTCATAGTTAAGGATCACTGACTTCCTCGATGAATTCTGTACTACGAGATACCAATGAATGCAACTGATGTCCACATTAGTAGGAGAATGTGAAATGTTTGGCCCAGTTGAGACTATGATGCTAAACATTTGCTTGTGAATTTGTGTCCAGATTTTGGGAATAGACAAAGCTTGTATTATCATTTGGCCATGATGGGCTTCTCTTATAATAAATGCTCACTAAATTTTTTTTCTGAATTGGATATGAACTATATGGAGATGTTATGTTTGGAAGATGGTGATTTGAGCCATCTGTTTTGTAACCAACTGTTGAAAACGAGTTATGCTGTGTGTATGCACACACTTACATATAAACACAGTTGGTCTAATTTTCCTCCTGAATCCACTAGAAGATTTTTGAGAAAGAATATTATAGTAGAAATTTTCACAAGTTTCTTACACATGATATTTGCATGATTTCCTCTCTGTATTTTGCTAATCAAACTATGAAAATAATGAAGTAGCATTTTAATGGGAAATTTGTTTTCAACATTCACACGGGACACAGTGTTAGACTTTGGTAGGCTATCTATACTGAATAGGTCCTTTGTGAACTGTACGCTTAACTCATAGTAACAAGAGCTTCCAGTAATTTCTTTCAGGCATGAAACCACAGATATGTATGGATTAGAAAGTTGCAAAAGAAAATTCACCCAGAGTATAGACTGCTAGATGATGCAGACTCTGCCCCACGGGAATATATGTGCATATATATTGCAAGCATTTCACAAGAAACTCAAATCCTGTGGTAGAGTGCTTTGCTTTTTTGGTGAAAGTATAATTCACTCAGTTCTCCCATATCTTGTTTTCTGATGTGTATTTTGTATGTAGTGGGCACTAATTAGGTATAGGTTGGGGTAAATGAGTGAAGAAAATAAAGTGAGCCTGGATGATGTTTTCAGTGTAGCGGGGACAGGAAGTGGTCAAGGGACAGAAACCCAAAAGAAAGTGAGCAGGAGGAGCCCAGTGTGTAGGAGTGTGCCACAGACAGCCAGACACAACTGTTAAGTCTCCAGGCAGCTATGGGGCTGCCTCTCCAGTTGCTTTGAATTTTAATGTGTGGAGCAGATGGTTGGTATAGATTGCCCTTGTTTTTGCCCAGGAGCCTGGCATCATTGCAAGTTATCAACCTGTTTAGAGACTAGAGTTTGAGCCTGTAGGTACGTCACAGAGCTCTGTTTTGTAAGCGGATTATTTAGTGAAGAGGAGGTAAATATGAGAATCTATGATTTTAGGCATCAGCCCATCTTTTTTCTAGGACAAATCTAAGTCAACAGACTGAGGTGATTGTTTCAGACCAGGTCTGCCTATCTAGCTATCTCTTTATAACACTTTAGCCTTTGAACTGCCAATATCAATGAGGTCTAGTGAAGATAAATAGATGTTTTAAGTAAAATAGCCTCATCCATATCCAGAATGGTAGTAATTAGTCTTACCCCCCTATGTCATGCCAATTCACCATCAACCACAATAATATTTCAAGTATCTGTAAGCACTTCCTTACAGTGAACTGAGCTGGGAGGCAGGTTCAGAAGCAATCCTGCACTTCCGTCTATCTTGACGGGATTGCAATTCTCCCTTGTGGCATGTTCCTGAGGACAGTCTAGGTATCTGTCCTGATGAAGTAGATTTAGGAGGGGCCCATGTTTCCCATCAGGTTGGGGCTCTGGAACCAAATGCGGGTCATGGAAGGCACGAGGATAGTCAGGCTCTGGGGAGCCAGGTCTGGCTAGGGAGGAGAAATGCCACAGCTCCCGAGGCCGCGCAGGCGGGGTCTTGGGCAGGGACAGTGGGTACTGATCCATAGCCTTGGTACCACATTCATCCAAGTTTGTGCTGGTGGCACAGTTTGCAAGAGAGGCTTCTGGTCGTGGCTTTGTCCATGGAGAAGAGAAACGCCAATGATTTGGAGGCATGCTGCCATCTGGAAAAGATTCAGAAGATACTTTAGGTGTTTTTTTAAAATGTTCAAAACGGCAACTGGAGAGATGGCTCAGCAGTTAAGAGAACTCTTAACTCTTGCAGAAGACCTAGGTTCGGTTCCGAGCACCCACATGGCAGCTACAACTATCCATAACTCGGTTCCAAGAGATCCGTTGCCCCCTTCTGACCTCTGAGGACATTGCATGACAAGGGTGCACTTACATGCAAGCAAAACACCCATACACATAAAATAAAATAAATAAACCAAAAATTTTTAATGTTCAAAGTGGAAGTAATTTATTATTCTGATTCATGCATCATATATATGGTAATTACTACTACTATAATAATAATAATTATTATTGTATGATGTGTGTGTATGAGTGCAAGGGCATGCACCACTATGTAGATGTGGAAGTTAGAGGACAACTTCTATGAGTCAGTTCTCTTCTTCCCTAATGGGTTCCAGGGATTGAGCTGAACTTGTCACAATTGCTCAGCAAGTGCCTTTACCCACTGAGCCATCTTGTTGGCTCTGTAGTATGTTTCTGAACTTGAAGAAAACATAGAAAGGGTTGAAAAACACACATTAACCACAGTGTCCATAAATAGCCACTGCCCTCCTTTACTCATACTAGTGTCTATATTTGTTTATACGATTTTCAAGCTGATTTTGCTTCATTAAAATATCATGAATATCACTGGGCATAGTCGCGAATGCTCACACTCTCATTCAGAAGACTGAGGCAGGAGGGTTAGTGCAAATTCAAGGCCAGCCTGGATGGCAGTGTAAACCCTGTCTCGCAAAGAATATTCTCCTATAGCGATTAATAGAGCCAAATATCAGCTTTTCTCACGTTATCAACTTTAATGTCATCATTTCCTTCACAAAAGATTCATGTCCAGACTTGAATCCAGAAAAATTCCAGCTAAAGGGTAAATCTTTGTCATTCTGACTTAACTCAGAATGACTTTAGAAAGGTACACCACAATTCAGAGCCAGGAAAAATGGCAGAGCATTGCATTTCAGACAGAGAGACCTAAGGCACAACCCTGTTTTCTTCAGGAGCCTTCTTTTCCTCTTAAGGAGTAAGCTAAATTTTAATTCATTTTACTAAAAGAAAAGCTTTAAGTGGCACCAAGTTATTTGAGAGGAAGTCAGAACAGAACTAACAGAAATGCTAGTTTTTAAAGGGCTATACACAATTTTATCATACTCATGGGCTAACAAAAGTCATATTTGTGGGCAGCTCAGTTGTTTCCATTTTAATTATAGTGCTGACATTGCAGTGAGCACATTTGCATATATGCCTCTGCACCCCATGTGAAGGTTAGTTAGCTCCTTAAAGAATCTTCTATAACTAAAAGTGCTTGATTTGTGTCCAGTTGCTGCTATTGTTTAGCTCAGTTTTGTAGTTGATACTTTAACTGTAGTAAATAAGGAGGGGGAATTCCACAGAACCATACAAACAGATTAGTGTTTGCCTCTGTTGGTTATTCACACAGCTCTAGGGATTGAGACCTCATTTTCCAAAGGAATCTGAGGCATGAGGATGTTAAGAGACTGAGCCAAGGAAGCAAAGCAAATGAGGCTGGAAGGAAACTGAGCTAGACCAATGAGAACTAGGTAGGCAGGTAGTTGCTTCATCCTCATCCAGCAAAACAATGATTGGGATCAACAGGTGACTCAGCTTCGACTTGCCAGGTTCATGTGGGTTCACCAATAGGAATGGGGTCTCCTTTGTACACGTATACACTATTCTAGTGGTACCTAGTATAGTGACTGACTCTGATATCTCAAATGTCTGGCATAGACCACAACATGGATGAATGTTTTCTCCATTCAGCATCAACTCAGGTGAGAAGAGAGGAGAGAAAGAGCTCTGCCAGATGGTGCTTAAAGCCTGGAACCTTAAAGTCTCTCTCTGTCTGAAATGCAATGCTCTGTCATTTTTTCTTTGCACTGAATTGTGGTGTACCTTTCTATAGTCATTCTGAGTTAAGTCAGAATGACAAAGATTTACCCTTTAGCTGGAATTTTTCTGGATTCAAGTCTGGACATGAATCTTTTGTGAAGGAAATGATGACATTAAAGTTGATAACGTGAGAAAAGCTGATATTTGGCTCTATTAATCGCTATGGGTGAATATATCTATCTAAGATAATGCAGAAAATGTGGCATGGGTGTGATAATAAAGGAAAATTAGCTAGCAGGAGAGTGAGACACTGATTCACCTCCCTACATGGGCACCTCTTCTAGCTGTCCTGAATGTTAAATTTGACAGGATTTGGGGATAAAATAAAAACATTGGAGCTTGGCATAGTGGCACACATCTTTAATCACAGCACTTGGGAATCAGAGGCAGATGGATCTCTGTGAGTTTGAGACCAGGCTGGTCACATAGGGAGTTCCAGGACAGCCAAGACTATGTAGTAAGACCTGGTTTCAAAATAAAATAAAATCAAAACACCTCAGAGGTCAGTACAGTGTTATGATGGTATCTCTATCCACCACAATAGCTTTGCCTGTAACGCAGATGATAAACACAAAATAAGCCGAATCTCACGTGGCACAGACATTCTGCTCAACACCTCACATCCCTCACAATGAGCAATGACCACAATAGGCCTCTTCTAATGAAAACAGGACAAGAAAACATATTAGCATGTATTCCTAGGGCTAAATGTTATTTTTGAAAATTGATATCTCCAGCCACTAGCAACTTGGGGCACTGTGTGCCCTGAAACAAAATGATTAAACTGATTTCATGTAATCAGTGTCCAAGGTTCATATTGAATGAGAGTACTACATGTCCTAAGCATAAATTAGAAAATAACTATATCCTCTGACGACTGGGCAGCTTCTGTCTGGACTGGCTTTCCAGATCTCATACATATGGTCCAGGTGCTCACCGAACATCTGAGATGTGGAAAGCAGAATCACAGAGGACTTTGAACATTTCTCTTAACTGTTTCCATTCCAGAATTTTCTGACTGAAATATTAAGGGAAGTTAGGTAGTGGACCACTATTCCCATTTAGTCACTGGGTGCCCCAAAGTACAGTTTGGTCTCTGGAGTGGTGGGACTGCACAGGGGCATCTCAACCTTGAGGTCATAGCACCCTAATGGCTGTGGGTAGCCAGGGAGATCTACTCTTCTAGACCAGGCTTGAGCTCTGGTGACCTGTGAATTAGAGAGCCTGTCCTTTCTCAGTCTTCTTGGGCCAACTTCTCCAGTAAAAATGCTGGCCATCTACTCCATGGGCAGGGGAAGGAATTTTAAACCATACTTTGGACTGCCTCAGGGTTGCTACTGAGGCAACTATGATGATATTTCTACCCAAGTGCCCTCTCTTAGTTTCCTCTGGGTGCTTGTGAATGTACATGAATGAATGGAGAATATATGAGCACTTGGAGTCGGGGACACATGGGTAGACTGGGATTTTATTTCAGTGAGAATATGGGTGGCTTCCATTTCATATTTGCCAGCCCTGGACATCTAGACACTAACTCTTAGTTCCATCCATGGCTCTAGAATTTCTGAGGCCCTTACTCCTAAGATCAGGCATGTCCAGGGAGTTCCAATCTCAATTTCTCACCTTTAAATAAAAGCGGTAGGGTATTCACTGTGCCTCACAAACACAGCCAGATACATCACCGTTCCCACCAATGCAAAAATTTGGGAGCTCCCAGAACCTTCCAGAAGGGATTTATCATACTGAAAAGTTTGCATCACCTCAGAGAATCATCCGTCCTCTCAATGGTTGGATAGTAGCCCTGACCTCCTAGTCTAGACTACTTTCTCTGCACACAAACTCTAGCATTATCCTCTCAGAAAGCTCTGTGAATCTCCAGTCTAAAGTTTGTAATCTTTCTGTGGCTGAATCAAGTTTATTTCCTTCATGGCAATGGTTCCATAAAATTTTAAGTTTGATTATTTTTATTTTATGTGTATTAGTGTATTGCCTACATGTATCTAAGTGCACCCATGTCGTGAAATACCAACAGAGGTCAGATGAGAGTGCCAGAACCCCTGGAACTGGAGTTATGGACCACGTGGGTGCTGGGAACTGAACCCGGGTCCTCTGCAAGAACAGCCAGTGCTCTTAACTGCTGAGTCATCTCTCCAGCCCAACAGTTCCATAATTTATGCATTCACTCATTAATTCGCTAATGTGCTTCCCAACTCACCAGTATCCATGGAGTTAGACCATTTCTCTTTTTCTCTACCATCATCCCCTCAGGTCAGGAATTCTCACCAGGCCTGGCAGATAGTAGGCCCTGGCTAAATATTCTAATGAATGCACACATACACATATTCACTCATAAACATGCACATGAGTGCACATAAACACATATAGTTGAAATATATATACATGTTTGCATGCACACATACATGTGTGCGTGCATATGCCTCCCCATTGAACCTTTCTATTTTGAGGTAAGCAGTGTGCAAATCGGTAAGAGTACAGACTTTGAAGTCAGACGTGCTTGGGAGACACTCCTAGGTTTTCCATTCCCTAGTTGTATGACACTGAGCGAGTCCCTTCCCACATCTGAGTCACTTGGAGTACTGTGACACTGGATGACAAAGTCTATGCAAAGAACAGAGTACACTGCCTGAGGTACAACTGGCAGTTAATAAATGGCCCTATTGCTGTTGCTATTAAACTTTTCATCTTATAAACCTAGACTGGATTCCTCTGTTAGTTTCTAACAGTCACAGCCTAACTGACCTGGAAAAAAAGAAAGATGGTAATTAATGTATGAAGCCTAAAAATTCTTCCTGCCATTAGTTAGTACCAGAGCAGGGAGAATTAAAAAGGACTGTGCCAAAAAGCTCACAAGAGCAGCAAAAGTTGCAGCACTTTAGGGTGATGTGGGCGATGGAGTAGATGCTGGTTATAAGAGATTTCAGAAGTCTTTGCTTAGTTTGTGTCCGTTCTTAGGGAATAAGACTTCAGAAGCAGATGAGAACAGTTGGGAAGTATAGAATAGCTA